CACCCCAAAATCGTGAGCCTCTGTTCTTGAGACCCCCAACCCCGCCATTTCTCGCCCAAAACCGACCGACACTCCCCACCATGCCCCCACCATGTTCAGGCCCCCCCACCCGTGCTCTGTTCTTGGGACCACCCAACCCCACAATTTCTCGCCCAAAACCGACAGATACCCCCCACCATGCCCCCGCCATGCCCCCACCGTGCCCCGGCCCCCCCCCCGTGGAGCCTCTGTTCTTCGGTCCTCCCACCCCGCCAGTTCTCGCCCAAAACCGACCGACGCCCCCCACCATGCCCCGGCCTCCCCCTCCAAGTGGAGCCTCTGTTACTGGGACCCCCCACTCCACTATTTCTTCCCCAAAAACGGCCCATACCCCCCATCATGCCCCCACCATGCCCCGGCCCCCCCCCCCCCGTGGAGCCTCTGTTCTTGGGACCACCCACCCCACCAGATCTCGCCCAAAACCGATCGACACCCCCCCACCATGCCCCCACCATGCCCCGGCCCCCCCCCCCGTGGAGCCTCTGTTCTTGGGACCCCCCACCCCGCCATTTCACGCCCAAAACCGACCGATACCCCCCACCATGCCCCCACCATGCCCCCGCCATGCCCCCACCATGCCCCGGCACCCGGCAAACGCCCAGCAAACGGTGCCGCGCGATGTCCCGCCGGTCTCCCGCTGGCGTCCCGCTGGTGTCCTGCCGTCGATAGTGAGACCGAGAACGAAATCCCCCAACCCTGGTCCAGTGGTTTCTGAGGTCGGTCTCGGTGATAGGCGGCCGGTCGCTTGAGACGACACGGCCGTCGTGACGGGGCGATCGCTCCAAAGATCTCGCCTTTACCCCTGGTTAAAAGTACCCCGAGCAGCCAAACATGGAGTGCAAGACAGACCCGACGAGGAAAAAACGGGAAACACCGCTTTGTAAACCGAGCTTGTTGAAGATAACGTTTGCTTCAGGGCGCCAACACCACCTCGGACCTCCGAGAATACCTCACCTCCGTTTGCTTGAGGACGCCGCTACAATCAATTTTGTCTGACCTCCGTGCGAGACGACTCCGCCGACCCATTGTGAGATCCCAGACGTGTGGCATCCGTCCCTCCAACAGACCCACAAGCACACGAGAAGGCCCAGGGATGGCCCCCAAGACCGCCACAGAAGCCCCCGAGACAACCGAAGAAAGCTCCAGGACGACAATAAAACGATTCCGCCTTCATGAAGGGGTCGCCCGACACTTGGATGAGTCCCGGTGTAGATCTTGGGTTCCTCGAAGTACCCTGGATGCCCGCCCGCCCGACTTCTCGGATACACGCATACGGACAAGCACAACGCGGTCAACCAAACGCACTAAGAAAATTAGCCTCCCCGAATTTCTCTGGGGTCGGCGGCAGAGGCGGCAGCCTCTAGATTTGCCTGGTAGGGCAAGGATGAGGAAGAGGAAGAGGAAACACCAGGGAAGGATGACGAATAGCGTTATCACATTGCCGACGCAGGCAGATGCAACAAAGAGTCATAGTTGAATGTTCCATCTGACCTTATTGTCCTCCTGCCTGCATGCCAAAACCTCAAGAACAAACGCACACGGTGCGAAGCACCAGCGCAGTCTTGCAACTTGGTACATGTAAATGTATACGCATATAAGTACGTACATACATTCATACATGCATGCATGCATACACACATACAAACAACCATGCACACATTCATTCATACATACATACATACATACATACATCCATACATGCATGCATGCATACATACATACGTACACATATATATATATATGCATACATACATGCATACATACATGCACACTTACATATATACATACAGACCCATGCATGCATACAAACATCGATACAACCATACATCCACACATACATACATACATACATACACACAAACATATGTCCATATATACAAACAAGCAGACAGGCATGCATCCATACATACATACATACATACATACATACATACATACACACGAGAGGTATGTCTAAGGGTGAAATAAATCTGCGTAGTGTTTTTGCGTAGTGTGTTTGCGTAGGTGTTTTTGCGTAGTGTTTTTCGCGTAGTGTTTTTTCGCGTAGTGTGTTTGCGTATTATTCGATTGCGCAGTGTTTTCGCGAAGTGTGTGTGTGTGTGTGCGTAGCGCATCTGTGTAATGTTTTTGCGTCGTGTTTTTGCGTCGCGTACTCCGGGCACGGTTCTGAGCCTCATGAGCCTCCTGGGGTTTTCGAAACGTCCCAGAGCTGCGCCAAACACCTTGCTCCCAGAATCCCTTTATGAACACCCCTGCAGAACGCGCGCAACATGTCACGACTCTTCGATTGACAGGAAATGCAGGACGTCACATGTTAAGACCGCCGGGCTCCCTCGTACATTGACCACCGAGATAGCTGGGCGGGCGTGGTGGCGAGACTTGCCGCAGGCAACTGGATAAGGGTGAAAAGGCCCTAGGACGCTCAATTCGGATGTCGTTGGACGTCACATTGGGCACGGGTGGGCCGAAAATTTCAAGATGCAAGGGTGACCTTGTAAAAGTACTGTGTCCTAGCGATGGGCTTTGACAGAAGGATGCGCTGCGATGACGGAAATCTTTGACGAATCTCCGCAACCGTCATCGATACAGAGCGAGGAGCGGCAATGTGAGGAGGTGCAAGAGGAGGAGGAGGAGGAGGAGGAGGAGGAGGAGGAGGAGGAGGAGGAGGAGGAGGAAGAGGGGGAGAATGAGGCAGAGGAAAAGAAGGAGCATGAGCAGGAGCAGGAGGAAGAAGGGAAGAGGAGGGGGAGGAGGAGGGGGGGAGGAGGAAGAGGAGGAGGAAGCCTTGCGATGACGGGGAAGGTCGAACGACACCCGCAGCCGGGGGCTTCAGTCTTGAACGCCCACGCCCGCGCCGCCGTTGCGCCGAAACGGCCGAAGCCTACCAGACGGGGCTTTCATCCCCTCCTCCTCCTCCTCCTCCTCCCCTCCTCCTCCTCCTCTTTCTCTTACCTCCTCCTCCCTCGGCCCCCCTCCTCTTCTTCCTCCTCCAACGCACGCTACCAGATATCGGCACAAAGTCCCTCGTCCACCTCCTCCTTGTCCTCCCCTTTCTCCTCCTCCTCCTCCTCCTCCCTCCTCCTCCTTCCTCCTCGTTTTCCTCTTTATTCTCCTCCTCCGGAGGGTGCAAAAAAACCTGCGTAGTGTTTTTGCGTAGTGTTTTGCGTGTGTTTTCACGTGGTGTTTTTGCGTAATGTTTTTGCGTAGTGTGTTTCGCGTAGTGTGTTCGCGTGGCGCATCTGCGTAATGTGTTTGCGTAGTGTTTTTTGCGTCGTGTATTCGCGTCGTGTATGTGCTGAGTGCGTCTGCGCAGGTAGTGGCGTCGTGTATTTGCGTCGTGTATTTGCGTCGTGTATGTGCTGAGTGCGTTTGCGTAGTGTATTGGCGTAGTGTGTCGGCGTCGTGTTTTTGCGTAGTGGTTTTGCGTAGTGTTTTCGCGTAGTGGTTTTGCGTAGTGTTTTTGCGTAGTGTTTTTGCGTAGTGCTTTTCGCGAAGCGTTTTTGCGCAGTGTATTTGCGCAGTGTGTTTGCGTAGTGCTTTTGCGTAGTGTTTTCGCGTAGTATATTTGCGTAGCGCATCTGCGTAATGCTTTTGCGTAGTGTTTTTGGTCGTGTATTCGCGTCGTGTATGTACTGAGTGCGCTTGCGTAGTGTATTGGCGTAGGTGTATTCGCGTCCTCCTCCTCCTCCTCCTCCTCCTCCTCCTCCCTCTCCTCCTACTCCTACTCCTATCCGCGGCTACCTGGTATCGGTCCTTAAATGTTCCTCCTCTTCCCCCTCCTCCTCCTCCATATCAGTCCAAAGTTCGTCCTCCCCCTCCTCCTCCTCCTCCTCCTGCTCCTCCTGCTCCTCCTGCTCCTCCTGCTCCTTCTGCTCCTCCTGCTCCTCCTGCTCCTCCTGCTCCTCCTCCTCCTCCTCCTCCTCCTCCCTGTACTCAAGTTCTACCAAATATCGGTCCAAATTCCCCCCCTCCACGCCTCCGCAACTGCCCGCCTCCTGCGGCGAACGTGACGTGAGACGCGGGCGACGCGCTGCGTTGGGATTCGGGCGTGTTGTTTCCGTGTATCAGCGCGCCGACTCGGGGCGCTCCTGAAAACACTACGTAAAAACATTACGCAGAATGAATGCCCTCGTGGGCATCGTCTCGCGCCAGTTCCGCCCGAATCCGCAGCCCCCCACGGCGCCGGGCGAAACTGTCCAGAGACGCGGGCGACGCGGCATGCTGCTGCGCAAGGGTTTGGGCGTGTTGGCGTGGTGGCGCGCCGACTCGGGGCGCTCCTGCACGCACTGCGTAAAAATACTACACAGACAGAATCTCCCCGTCGCCCGCATCTCGCGCGAATTCCGCTCGAAACAACGGCTCCCCGTGGCCTTGGGCGAACGTGACGTGAGACGCGTGCAGCGCGGGTTTGGGCGCCGTTGTTTGCTGCGCGGTTGCTTGCCGGCTCGGGGCGCTCCTGGAAACACTACGTAAAAACACTACGCAGAATGCCCTCGTCGCCCGCGTCTCGCGCCAGTTCCGCCCGAATCCGCAACTCCCCGCGGCCTCGGCCAACGGTGACGAGAGACGCGGGCGACGCGGCATGCTGCTGCGTGGGATTTCGGGCGTGTTGCTCCCGCGTAGCAGCGTTGCCGTCTCGGGGCGCCCCTGAAAACACTACGCCAAAACACTACGCAGAATGCCCTCGTCGTCCGGACTTCGCAGGGCCGCGCCAGCCGCTGGAGCGCCCGCTCACGAGACCTCCCTGGTCACACACACGTACTGTGCGGATGTGACGTACTCACGTACGTAATGCTTCTCCGTAGTGTGTTATGCGTAGTGTTTTTACGTAATGTTTTTTCCTGCGCAGAGTTTTACGTAGTGTTTTTTTTTTTTTTTTTTTTTTTTTTTTTTTTTTTTTACGTAGCGTGCTTTTTATGAGTAGCATGTTTACGTAGTGTTTCATCTCACCCTTAAAATTCCTATTTCACTATTAAAATTTTGATTTCACCATTAACCGCAACCGTCCATACACACAAACATACATACATACATACACACATACATACAGACACATGTTCATACAGATCTATATACATACATCCATACAAACATACACCTACATACATGTATACATACATACATGTATACATATATATATATATATATATATATATATGTATACGTGCATGCATCCATGTATGTATACACACGTATATGCGAATTAAACATGAAGAGAGAGAGAGAGATACACACACAGACACAACCATCTATACATATATGTATATATAGAGAGAGAAGGAGAGAAATCCTCTGGAGCTATCCAGCTGCTTGGTACTGGCACGCGCTCCTCCGCGGAGGATGGCCTGGCCCGCGCGTGCCCGCGCCGGCTGCGCAAGCAGCAGAGGAGCTAATCCCGCCTGCGCGCTCCTCAGCGGTGGGACAAGGCTAAAAACCTGGACGTGATCGCGTCGTCAGAAAATCTGGCCTGGAGGTTTTTGGTCAACTTCGGCCTCGGGGGGCCCTCGCTGGGCCTCGGGACCGTCAGAGAACGACTCAGGATGAAAAACCGGTCCGGCGGAAAGGGTCGGGACTTCCAGGGACCCCGTATTGAAAAAATCAAACATCCAAGACAGACGTCCAAGACCTGTCCATGCAATGCCTGCGCTGTGGCTCCCAGTGCGGCAGCCTGACCAGGACACGAACCAAAACTGTCATGCTGACATCGTCTGAACGTATGTGTGTGTGTAAACTTGCGCTCCACTGTGCCGGCTGGAGCTGTCGAGGGAGATGGCCAACAAAAACAATCGTGTAAGAAAACAATCGTGTAAGAAATGCAAGCCAGCTTGCCGAACTTGAAAAATTGGCCTGGGCCAATTTCTGTCGTTGACGCTGGAGGGGCGAACATGCTCAAGACACTGGGCCACCTGTCCGGCAAATTGGTTAAGAAACGTGGGCTGAGCTTTTCGGGAGGACGTTTCTTTATCATATGGTCGACTATAGTGGGAGATGGCCAATGGAATCGAAACACACATTGCCAACCAAGCATGGAAACATGTTAAGGCACGTCTTTGCCGCCAAAGAAATCGCAGGTGCGCGACCCGATCCACAGTACCGTCGGTAAGATTGTGGCGACTGGTTGAGTTGAGAGGGAGGAGGAAAAGGAGGAAGTGGAGGAGGACCTTGAGGAACCGAAGACGCCTAAGTTATGTTGAGCAGGGACCGACCGTCCTGGCATTCCTATAAGCCTCCCACGGCATGTTCTCCGACAGAACCGAATCACGTTCTAAGAACACGGTGAATGCTCTTAAAACGTAGGAGCCGATGTGTTGAATCCAGACGGTCTCGGCCAGAACTGTTCTACTAACATGTCGTGTACACCACAAAAAGTTCTCAGAACTTTCTTTGGTGAGCCTATAGGTAAGCCAAGACGCCTCGCCACTGCTTGACTAAGAGCTCTCTCATCGAACGTCCTTCTCGTGATGATCCAGGACTGTGCAGCCTAAGACACCCGGGCGGGGGCCCCCCTGGCGCCGAGCGAATGACAAGATTCGCGGGAGCGGCTGCATCTCTGGGAAAATAAAACGTACCGATGCCGCTGCTCCACTGACCTCTCCCGGGGTGCGTTCTGACCAGGATTTCGAGGCGAATCAAGCGGTGGCGACGAGGGCCTCCTGGGAGGCCCCAATAGGGGGAATTCGGGCGAAGGGTAGAGGACTGGGTACCTGTTCCTCTGCATCTTAGGAGGGGAGCCGAGCAGACGAGCACGACCGAGAAAGGAAGCACCACAGCGCGTCGAACGGGCCATTCTTATTAGACGAAAACGGCATAAAGAAACACTTGTCGCGATTCGCGAGGGTTTCTTGGATCTGCGCTGGACCCCCCTCTCTGGCGCGCGGTGCGCGCCAGGGGCGGCTTAAGAGGCGCCGCCAGGAGGGCCCAGCGCGGATCTAAGAAATCCGCGCGGAGCGCTAAAAGTTTGTGTTTATGGGGTTTTGTTCTTCTTCGAATGCTGGCGCGAGGCACGCAGGAAGACAAGGTGCACATAACCGCGCCGGGAGCACGCCGCGGTCGGGCTGGGCTGCAGGGCGCCGAGGGCCAGCGTGGACCTGCGCGGCGGCGCCTCTCCTCTCCGCGGACTCTGCGGGCCCTCGCTCGCGCCCGAAGCCGCTGCTGATGGGCCGATTTTCCATCACCACAGCCACCACCATAGGTAGGAATGGGGGAGGAGGAGGACTAGGACTAGGACGGTGGCCTGCCTCCGAAGAGGCAGGTCCAAGAACAAAGAAAATGGGCAGAAGACGAGGGGGCGACCGCGCTTTGCGCGAGACGCTCACCCAAAGACAGGCCCCAAGACAGGGGATGAGTGACCACCTGCTGATGCCAGAGACGAGCACGCAACATTAGAAGCATGCGGAGTTAAACTGTTAAACAGGTAGCAGCGCACAGTAGTACTACATGCTGCAGCTACGCAACACCGCCGCATAGAGTTGGCAACAACAACTGCCAAATTAGCGCACAACTTGAGGGAGCGTACGCTCCACTGCAACAAACATTAGGGGACAAGAGGGGGGACCCGAGCGACACCAGGAGACACCACAGTTGGGTCCCCGAGGCCATCGTACAGCAGCGTCATTGCTGGCAACACAGGACCAATGGACATTTTACTCTTGGGGCCCAGTGCCTGCATCAAATTACCAAGCCTGCGCCCGGCAGTGCTCGATTCTCGGCGCCTGTTGCACTGCCTGTGCAGGTGTCCAACGGTCATGGATGAATACAAACCACATAATCTACAACATGCGTACCTACCAGTACGCATCACTGTATGGAGGAATCCGTGGGGAGCTGGACAAGGGGCTCTATGCAGTTCGAACCTGCAAGGACTGGAGGCCAAGCAGGCTATGCACCTAAAACGCTGCACAGATGGATCCCAAGCCAACTCAGGTGGAACTCCCGTAGGCGGCATCACAACAACTGCGGCAGCTGCGGGAGGGGGCAGAAAGAGAGGGAGGACGACCCGGGAAGGGCGCGGAATCTCATCGAGGCGCGGCAAATACGAGACATGACAAATCCAATGTGTTTGCCAATATGCTCTACTACAATGCGTGAACTACTCAGTCGTTCCATGGCCGCCGCATCAACAGGATGACGCCGAGCACCAAGCTTAGCAAGCCTGTCAGCACGAGCATTCCCCGCTGTCAGCCGGGCGGCCTGGGCAGGAGAAGATACAGTGAGGTGGGCCTCCACTGTGCGAACCTAGCTGCAGTCGTAGCCAATGTCGGCTGCTTTCGCACGGATGCGGGCCCATGTGCCCGAACGGGTGCTCCAACCAGAGCCAACGCGAGAAGGTGGGGCGCGCCACGAGTCCACAGCCCACTGGCAGTCGCTGTGATGCTGTGATAGACACAACTGCCACTCGAGTCCGGCAATTGCGTGCAGGAGGAAGACGAGCAGAGCCAAAGTTTCAGCACCAGGCACGCACGGATGAACACCTGGGTACGCACCGTAGGCGGCCACGCGCGCCTCACCAGATGGCCCCACCGCTGCCGCGGAAAAGCCGCAAGGGCAATGCTCTCGGCGAAGCGCCATGGAGACCTGAACCGTCACCAAACACCGGAGACGCAAGTAGAGGCGCCGCGTGCGGATCACCGAAGAAGAACCATAGAATGTCCAGCTCCATTGCTGGATGTGGCAGCAGCCGCTCTGGATCAGGGACCATGGCAGAGTACCACAGCGGGTCGTCGGGGAAGCGAGCACGAACGCGTTCGACGTGATCTGGCAGTACGCCTGTCGATCGTGAGACCCTGTCGTCGCAGTCTTGCTCGCAACGCTCGAGGCCATTTCAAGGCTCAACCTCGAGCGCGCTCCCAGAGCGAGGCTACTGAGCGGTCTAGGCGAGTGCCGCCCAAGCGTGTACGTTATGGGTCACCGGCTCGCGCAGCCGAGCGCGCTGGAAGAGCACAACATTACCCTCGCTTCCCAGTGCTTCCGCAAAGGGCGATTTTGCCCTGCATCGGGCCCCTGGGGCTCTCAAGGATCGATCTGGCTCGAAACATGCCCTGGGAAGATGGGGCTCAGGGGTCCGGTCGAGCTTTTCCTACGATGCTGCCTTTGTTAGGCGACGTCGGATCTCAGGGCATGCACACCACAGAGGCTCCCCCCCTTGCGACCCCTGCCCCTCGCTGCAGCCGCTGGGCTCATGCGGGAGAAGCCAGAGGACCATCAGAGTGACAATTCCAACAGCTCTTTGGGCCCATGTGGTTCAGCGGGTCAGCTCTTCCATGCCGCTCTTCTTCCCCCTCGGGGGCAAGTCTCCCCCCCACTCGGTCTGCACCGGAGTTTCGCGAGATGTCAGGTCTGTTTGCGTTTTCGGTGGCTCCCAGCTGGCTCCAGATGGCTCAAGATGGCCTCCAAGATGGCGCAGACTTGTCAACTTTGGTTCAAGTTTGGCTTCCAGCGTGGCTCTGATGTTGCCAGACTTCGCCACACGACGGCCCCCACTATGGTGCCGCGAAACGTGCGAAGGGTGCGCCGCAAAGAGACGGGGCCGCCACTGGGGCCGTCGGTGGAGCTCCCTCTAGAGCCACGAAGCACTGTACTGAGTGGGGGAGGCGCATGCGAGCACCGACAGTAGGGCATTAGGTGGAGCTCGATATGTGGCCACGAAGCGCTGTACTGGGTCGGGGTGACGAATGCCGGCGGTGCCACTGGGGCCTTCGATGGAGCTCCCTATGGGGCCACGAAGCCCTGCACTGGATGGGGGAGACGCGTGCGAACACCGCCACCGAGAAATCGGTGGAGATCCCTCTATCAGGCCACGAAAAGCTGTACTGGGTGGGGGACAACCGCATGCGAACACCGCCACTGAAGCCTTCGGTGGAGCTCTGTACTGGGAGGGGGTGACGCATGCGAACACCGCCACTGAGGCCTCCGGTGGAGCTCCCAATGGGGCCACGAACGCCGTAATGGGTGAGGGGAACCGCATGCGAACACCGCCACTGAGGCCTTCGGTGGAGATCCTTATGGGACGCTGTACCAAATAGGGGTGACGCATGCGGGGAGTGCCGCTGGGGCCTTCGGTGGAGCGCCCCATGGGGCCACGAAGCGCTGTACTGGGTGGGGGTGACGCATGTGGGCGGTGCCACTGGGGTCTTCGGTGGAGCGCCCCATGGGGCCACGAAGCGCTGTACTGGGTGGGGGTGACGCATGTGGGCGGTGCCACTGGGGCCTTCGGTGGAGATCCCTATGGGGCCACGAAGCGCTGTTCTGAGTGGGGGTGACGCATGTGGGCGGTGCCACTGGGACCTGCGGTGAAGCTCCCTATGGGGCCACGAAGCGCTGTACTGGGTGGAAGTGACGCATGCGGACGGTGTCACTGGGGCCTTCTGTGAAGCTCCCTATGAGGCCACGAAGCGCTGTACTTGGTGGGGGTGACGCATGCGGGCGGTGACACTGGGGCCTTCGGTGGAGCTCCCCATGGGGTCACGAAGCGCTGTACTTGGCGGGGGAAACGCATACAGGCGGTGCCACTCGAGCCTGCGGTGGAGCTCACCACGGAGCCACGAAGCGGCGCCGCACTGTGTGGGGGTGACGCATGCGGGCGGTGCCACAGGAGCCTTCGGTGAAGCTCCCTATGGGGCCACGAAGCGCTGTACTGGGTGGGGTTCACACATGCGGACGGTGCCACTGGGGCCTTCGGTGGAGCTCCCCATGGGGCCACGAAGCGCTGTAGTGTGTGTGTGTGTGGGGGGGTGACGCATGCAGACGGTGCCAGTAGGGCATTAGGTTGAGCTCCCCATGGGGCCACGAAGCGCTGTGCTGGGTGGGGGTGACGCATGCGGGCGGTGCCGCTGAGGCCTTCGGTGGAGCTCCCTATGGGGCCATGGAACGTTGCACTACAGGGTGGGGGAATTGCATTTAGATGAGGGCAGAGGCAAGGAGGGGGAGGAGGGAGGAGGGCGGAGAGGAGAGGAGGAAGGTGAGTGACGCGGGGCGCTGTCTTCACTACAGAGATCCAAAACGACAACACATCTGGAAATGCAATGCGACCGGCATGCCACCATGCCCGAAGGTATCAGCCAAAAGGTCAGCGTCCGCCCCCAGATCCCTCAAACTACGCATCGGAACTTGCTTGATAACAAATGGCAAACGTACCACCCGGATCGCATTACTGCATGTGGGCAGGGCCTGCGTTTTGCAAGACGGAAGCTTCAACAACCACCTGGAGGCAGAAAGTATGCGACAATCCAACTCAAAGCTCAGTCAGCGCAGGACCTCCTCCGCACCGAGGCAGCTCGTTTGAAGCTGGATGTGGCCCCGCCCGAGGTCGGAGTCTTGTCCTGCCGATCATGGGGAGGGCATCGCAATTAAGCACGCATAGGCTTGGCGAGTAATGCACACGGGACTGCCTCCGTATACAAGAGCTGCAGCGAGCATGGCCCTGGGTGAGCCGACCATGTGGGCGACAAGCTTGCATTGGCTGCGTAGCCGGCCATCCCTACTGGCTCCAGGCTGATGGACGTGATCAAAGGCAGGGGGGCACATGCGAACCCTACCCCTACCCCCCCCCCGAACGAAGTGAACCCCACCACCCACCTGAGAAATCGTGGGGTGCAGGGGTAGGGTTCGCATGTCGCACCCTCGAAGGTCACCTCGACGAAAAAAAGCCATGCCCTGAAGCAAGACTGCAAGATAGATTGGGCCCAGACGGGCCGTCCGTCACACCCCGATCCGTGGAGCGACATGGCCGCCGCGCGCCGCGCCTTCGCAGATGAGCATCGCTTGTCCGACCCCCATCCCCGCGGGCGTGGCCTGGGCCCAACTGGCCAATCTGCCCCCCTGCATGGGAACATCGGCTGCTCTCTTCGGGCTTCCAGGGGCACAGCCCCAACCGAGGTGGTGGGACGATGGGGCTCGAGATGTGGTGGGGATGGGGATAGGGATCGGTCAGCCGATACGCTCGACCAAGATAGTAAGGATGCGCGATAAGGATGCAAGGGCCTTGGAACGCCATGTTGACGTTTTCCGTGCGGAGCGCAGCAGAAGGCCGAAAGATGCAGAATACCAGATGGGCAAGGATGCAAGGGTAGCCTTGGAAAGTTGCCCCATCCTTTCGGCTACACGCAAGAGTGACCCTGAGTAAGAGTGACCTTTGGTGCGCGACTTTTTGGGGGGCGCGGGGAGGCCAAACCTGGGCGCGCAAGCCGCTGCTGCCGCTTCGTTTTCAGCCTGTGGTGCGGGCCCATCTGTGCCCGCACCAGAGGTCACTCCGGCGAAAGGTCACTCTTACGTCAAGTCGAATCCTTACTATTAAGTCGGGCCTGTCTCCCTACAGGGGGATTTTCGACGAACAAAAAAATACCCCAAAAATGCTACAAACAGGTCAAAAAATATTCACAAAATAGTCCCCAGACTATTTTGGAATTATTTTCTGATTATTTGGGGGGTATGTTTTGTTTTTTCGTCGAAAATCCCCCTGTAGGGGGACACGCCCGACGTAACCTTACTACCATGGTTGACTGTGCTGAGCGGAGGGGCTGGGCGATTGCTTCGGGAGGCGCCCCAGCGGTCGGGAAAACCTTCTGCCTGGCGCGCCGCGGCGGCCCCGGCGACGCGCGGGGCCGTGCCGAGCGGACAGCGTGCCGCTCCGCTCCGCGGGCGGCGGGCTCGGAAGGGCTTGGGACGTGGACGCCTGGGGACCGGGACGAAGTCGGGCACGTCCCTCCCCCTGGCGCGCGGAGCGAATCAGGGACGGCGCCGGAGGCGCCGCCAGGTGAGCCCAGCCCCGATCGAAGAAACCTGCGCGGACCCTCCCCTTGTCGTCCTACTTCTCCTCCTCCTCCTCCTCCGCCTCCTCCGCCTCCTCCTCCTCCCCCTCCTCCTCTTCCATCCTCCTCCTCCTCCTCCTCCTCCTCCTCCTCCTCCTCCTCCTCCTCCTCCTCCTCCTCCTCCTCCCTCCTCCCTCCTCCCTCCTCGCTCCTCCTCCTCCTCCTCCTCCTCCTCCTCCTCCTCCTCCTCCTCCTCCTGCTCCCCTCCCCTTCCTCCTCCTCCTCCTCCTCCTCCTCCTCCTCCCCCTCCTCCGCCTCCTCCCCCCTCCTCCTCCTCGTCTCCCCTCCGCCCTCTCCTGCATGCGTGTGGGCGAGAGAACTGGTGCGTATGCAGCTGTCTTGTCCTGCGACCCTCGCTCCTCCCCCTGCGTCTTTCTCGGCTGCGCCATACCTGTATCAACTACAATGAAAACGTATAGTAAGGACGGGTGGGTTAGGACGCGAGACCCTTGGAGGCCGAGGTTGGGATTTATTGGGCGGCGGCCTGAGAGGCTGGCCAGGGGAAACAACAAAGGAAGGGCCGCAGAGGCAAGGACACACGGGTACCCTAGAAAAGGCGCGCGTCCTTACTATGCTCGTTGACTGTAGGCGTAAGAGTGACCCTGGGTAAGAGTGACCTTTGGTGCGCAGCTTTTAGGGGCGCGAGGGCGCCAAACCCAAGGGCGCGGGCCGCTTATATCGCATCGCGATCGGCGATCGGGGGGAGCCCGATGAGCCCGCACCAAAGGTCACTCCAGCGAAAGGTCACTCTTACGTCTGGTCGAACCTATAGTATATCGAGCAGGGACCGACCGTCCCGGCATTCCTGTAGTCCTACCACGAAATGCTCGTAGAATCCGCAAAAATGCTCTAAGAGCAAAACCAATGTTCTTAGCACAGAAACCCGAAGATATAAAAACAAGACAGACTCCGCCAGGAATGTTCTGATAACATTTCGTGGAAACCACAAAAAGGTTCTTAGAACATTGCTTGGCAGGGGTATCGGCGAGCCAGGACGCTTCGCCACTGAGGGAGGGAGGCGCTATCTTTTCGAGCGCGAAGGGGGAGAGCGCGACGATCACCAGCCGATCCACTCGTCAGTCAGTGCACTGCGGCCAGCAGGGATAGAGCATGGAGGCATGAGGGGTACTTTGGTGGGAAACTTCGCTTCCGATTCTGAGGGGGCTCCATTCGTCAGCCTCTGGCGAGTGTGGATGGCTGGGGCCGCGGCGTCTTTTGGGGGGCCGCGTGGCAGGGCAGAATTTAGACGCTGCCAAAACGGTTTTTGTGCGTCAAGCTCCACACTTATGTGCGGCCCCCAGACGGCTCAGCGGAGCATGAGGCCTCCTCCCGTCGAGTCGATCCGATCCCCCCCCTGCCCCTGTCAAGCAACACTGCACCTTGCAGGGGAGCCCAGAGTGGAATCGATAAATCGGATCGGCGATCGACATGAATCGGATCGGCCGAAACCGGCACCTGAGTCTGGAAAAGTCGAATCGGAGGACGTCGGCAGGCTAGTGTGCCTCCAGTGAGAAATCGGACTCCGAGTCGGACTCCCGAGCCGAATCGAATCGGAATCGGAAGCGCTCGAAGTCGAACCGAATCGGAGGCATTGAAACGAGCCCTGACCTTGTGCAGTTACCGGGGCGGCGGCCAGCCTCTCCAGATCTGCGTGCCGCGCAGGCATCCGCCCGCGCGCACGTCGCGGGGGGCACCGGCGGCATCGGCCGCCTCCTGCTGCTCCCGCCCGCCCCCTGGTGGGACGCACAGAGGCATACGAACACTGCATGTCCTCCTCGGAGGCGCGCGTCCGACCCCGAGCACATCGTATAACCATCTTGTAGTCAATCGTTTCCCGGGCGGCGTGGCCAGAAGGCGCCCGCCACGACGCATGCACTATGAAATGTCTCGGCGCGCGCGGTGCCCCTGGGAGGGGGCGACGCACACACAGCACAAGTATGTTGGGTTGACGCCGACCTGGAACCCTGGAACCTTCCTCCTCCATCTCCTCCTCCTCCTCCTTCTCCTCGCGCCCCCGTCGTGATCCAGAAGAAGAGAAGCGTGCGGCAGAAAGATAAAACTTTTTGCGAGGTCCGCGCGGACCTCGCGGGGAGTCGGTGGCGCGCCCCCCCCTGGCCTATGCTCCCCGAAACGGTGGATGCTGCAGTGGATCCCAAATTCTTGTACAACACCCAAAGATGATCGCTTCGCGGACGAATCAGGCCGGGCGGTTTTTGGCCAATTTCGGCCGCCTCGGGGGGCCCTCGCCGGGCCTCGGGGCCGTCAACAAAAAACGGCTCGGGAAGGAAAACCGGTCCCGGGGAACGGACCGGGACTTCCAGGGGCCCCGTCTGTGGGAAAAAACACACACTGTGGGAAAAAACACACACACACACACGCGCACACACACACACACACACACTGTGGGAAAAACAACACACAAAAACACACACGACTGTGTTTTTGTCCCACAGAATGTGTGTGTTTTAAAAATCAGGACGTCGCATGTCTGAGCTGGCTTCTGGGATGCGGGACGCGCGCCGCCCGTGGCCGTGCCGTGTCCTTGCTGTGTCTGCATGGTGGGACGCTGGATGCTGAGATCGAGGATCTCCCGGCCTGGGTCCACCCAGACCTTGGCCGGTCAGGCCCTGCAAGATCCTGCGAGGTCCTGCAGGATCCTGCGCCCGCGCCTGGGGCAGTGCACCCCTGGCCCTGCAGGGGCCTGCAAGATCTGGCGTTCTAACAGACCTCCGTCGGATGAGCCCCGGCACAAAGCGCGCCGCCCGCGGGCGGTGCCGTGCTGCGCCTAGCTTCTGGAAATCAGAAAACTTCGACCAGAGGGTCGACTGCAGAATTTATCCACCCCGAAGTTGATCTCCCGTCGGATTTGCGAAAAATGCAGCGGGTGTTCCACAGATCTGCGGAGCATCCTGCGCATTTCTCAAAATGGGGTGAGCCAGTGCTAAGGTCGATCCCCTACTCGGAGACTTGTTTCTCCACCGACCTTGCAGACGTACTGCAACGTACTGCTGCGTGGATTTCTGTCAACGCAGCAGTACGGAGAGCGAAAAACGAAGTGAATGTCACACGGATGTGTTGTAGTCTTCATTCCTGGCAAACAGGAATCCCCGCGAAACTCACTTCGAAATCCAAAACGAAAATTCTCCAGGACAAGCCAGGCCTATCCCATTGTTTTGCGATGTTGGCGCAGTGAAACTTGCCGCTCGCGCGCTGCGCCGTGCCGCTGCCGTGCAGTGCCCGAGTTTCCGGGACGTGACGGAAACAACACAAGTGCCGCACGCCCGTGCCGTGTCGTGCCCGTGCGTGCCGTGCTCGCGTGCCGCGCCCCGCCTCCGGGAGGCGGAAAGCATCGGCAAGCGCGTTCCACCACTCGCAGAACAACTACCCGCGATTGGCCGGGATAGTTACGCCATGGGGGATTTACGATTCGGCGAGGGCATTGAATAAGGAACCAGTGAGTAAGAAACCCAAGGTCTGGAAGCTGGTGAAACTCGAATCGTGGACCGGCCATGGAT